TGGAATAGCCCCATCTGGCGGTGCATCGTTATACAAAAGCGTCCACTCATTAATGAGACAATTCTGTTGCCTGGCTGCATCCGGGCTCCATTTGGGGCAGGCGAATCGAGCCCTTGTCCGGACGACTGTGGCGCCGCCGCTCCCAGCCCAGTCAGAGCAATCATCGTGAGAAGAACCAATTGCTTGGCATTTACGGAGTCCAGAGTACTGCGCGCAAGCCAGCAATGGCGCCTTGAGGCTCCCTGGAAAGGCTTTCGTTCTGTCGGCAGCAGATGAACTGAAGAGTGTTGAGTGGCCTGCCTTTTCTGCCCGTGCTCCTGCAAATTGCGCCCGATTGTGCATTTGGTGCAGAACCGCCTGAGACATGGTAACGGGGTGTGTGCAAACAGAGGTACGGTGTCGCCGACCCTGGGCATGGGTGTGAAGTCGCCCCATGAGCAATGTGACTTACTTTTTACGAGGACAGTGACGATTATCCGGGATCACGACGCTTCTTTTAATTCAGAGAGAGAAACTTGTTGCATGCGTCACCGCCTTAGGCGGGATTGCATCGGATATCTTCAACGCCATGTTCTCATCGGGAAGCACGACATAAACCGGAATGTACGAGAGTTAATTTGACGGACAACCAGGGCCCTTGGCCAATGCACCTCCCTTGAAAATGTGGCCGGCGGGAGTTGGCTGCAGACCGACGTCAGGCGGCGTTGGATCCATATGCGCCACCGCGGTCCCTTCTATCGGTCATTTCCTCCTGTTTTGTCTGTAAACTCCAATTCACTTACTTACTATCCACAATCACGTTTTGGAGGAATGATCCGGGGTGCGGGGATTGTGGGGAGAAAGCCAAACGGCCCCAGACTTTAATACCCCCCTGGGGTTTACAATACTACCTGGACATTGTATACCAGGGTCTATCTAGCCTGATAACCATCTGGGACGCTCTTGGACCTCAGCTCCCTCCAGTTGTCATGGTCATGTCCAGTTCCTTGTGCCCACAAGCGATGAATGGGTGGGACCAGGCCAAGGATTTGCCTTCACCTTTCACCGTTAGTTGTTGTCCAGATGTATGTAAAATCTAATTTGGCCCCATTCAGTTTCCGGACCAAACGCCAGGAAGGAGGTTTTCCAGCTCTTATTCCAAGAGACTCAAATAGCCATCGCCTCCCGCCTTCAACTCCTTCAACCTCTACTCGCTTTGGACCTGCCTTAACCAATCCTCTCTCCACTGGCCTCTGGGTTTGAGAAACGGGGACAACGGCTCTGCACTGACGTTCATCACTGTGTGTAGGCTGCAGTCGGACTGAGCTTTACAATATCTGGAAACTTTGGAGACAAAGCATCACTCAGGGTCCGCAGGGAGAATCACATTCAGTCACCATGTCGAACAACATATAGTCAGTTCAAGACCTGCTGGGAGCCAAACGTGCTAATTCATTGCCTCGGCATGAGTCACTAACAAGTCGTTAGCCAAGATTCGAAGGCTGCTCGCAATGAACACCTCGAGGAGAAGGGTATCACCCACACTGAGCAAGTGGACATGCAGCAAAACCTTGAAGCTAGGTAAATGAACATCACTCTGGCAACCACCGCACACCGGGTTACATGACGGGCTGACATCGCATTTCAGGATCCGGAATCCGTTGCAGGGCATTCCTCGATCTCAGCTGATGCAGGATGTGGAGAATTTTGCGCAAAGAAAAGGCCTACAAGACCACGTTGCGCTTTTGAAGAAAGGCGCATTAGTTGCCCAGGATCCTACCAACATTCACAATATCGATGGCCCCGAGAAGCTCTCTTCTGAAGAGCTCGAGGTCCTCGGTGATGAAGTCACTCACAAGTGGCGTATGCCCATGAGACTCTTCCTGACAATCTTCACTTGCTCCATTGGTGCTGCTGTCCAGGGATGGGACCAGACAGGTAGTAATGGCGCAACCATTTTCTTTCCCAAGTACTACGGCATTGGAGGTACCACTGATCGAGAGACAATCATCGTGGGCTTGATTAATGCCGGCCCATATATTGGCTCTGCGTAAGTAGTCATCTGAACGGAAGCTCTATTTGACACATGGGATTCGTTGGCTAACAAGTTATTTAGCCTTATCGGCTGCTGGTTGTCTGACCCATTGAACAACTGGTTCGGACGAAGAGGCACTATTTTCTTCTCTGCCAACTTCTGCATCTGGCCTGTCATTGGATCTGCCTTGTGCCACACATGGGAGCAACAGCTAGCATGCCGTATTCTCATGGGAATTGGAATGGGCGCAAAGGCATCAACAGTCCCCATCTACGCTGCCGAAAATTCTCCCGCGTCTATCAGAGGCGCTTTGGTCATGTCTTGGCAAATGTGGACCGCTTTTGGCATCATGTTGGGAACCGCTGTCAACCTGGCCGTCTACAAGGTCGCAGGTCCTTTGAACTGGCGTCTCATGCTTGGTGCTCCCTTTATTCCCGCCGTGCCTCTTATGGCCCTGATTTATCTTTGCCCGGAATCTCCCAGATGGTACATGAAGAAGGGTCGGTTCCAGGAAGCCTGGGAGTCCATGTCCAAGCTCCGCCGAAACCACATCCAGGTTGCTCGTGATATCTACTATATCAGCGCCCAGCTTGAGATTGAGAAGGAGGTCATAGGCAACACCAACTATGTCACTCGCTTTACCCAGCTCTTTACCGTTCCTCGTGTCCGCAGGGCTAATTTGGCTGCATTTACTGTCATGATTGCTCAACAAATGTGTGGAATCAACATCATCGCCTTTTATTCCACCTCTATTTTCGAGCAGGCCTTCCGTAACGATTCCAACCCGCAGTTCAAGGCCATGATTGGATCCTTTGGGTTCGGTTTAGTCAACTGGCTATTTGCATTCCCTGCGTTCTTTACCATTGATACATTTGGTCGTCGCAGCTTACTTCTGTTTACATTCCCCCAAATGTTCTGGACTCTCCTGGCCGCTGGTCTTTGCACCCTCATCGACGCAGAAGGATCCATGGCAGAAGCGCGCACTGGACTTGTGTGCTTGTTCGTCTTCCTATTCGGCGCTTTCTACTCCCCTGGTGAAGGTCCTGTTCCATTCACATACAGTGCTGAAGTTTACCCGCTGTCTCATCGTGAGACGGGCATGGGTTTTGCCGTTGCCACCTGCCTTTTCTGGGTATGTTGAAGTCACCTTGACATAAATAGAGTTGTACCACTAACTTGTGCAGGCCTCCGTTCTGGGAATTACGTTTCCCTTCATTCTCAACCGCCTTCAGACTATCGGTGCATTCTCGTTGTATGCAGGTTTCAACGTGCTTGCCTTTATCATGATTTTCTTCTGGGTGCCTGAGACCATGCAACGTACACTGGAGGAGTTGGACTGGGTATTTGCCGTTCCGACTAGCAAATTCGCCAAGTACCAGCTTACCGTCGCTTTACCCTGGTGGTTCAAGAGATACATCCTCTTCCAGCGCAATGCCACTAAGGAGCCCCTGTATCATTTTGAGAAGGTGGCCATGACTACTGGAAAGGATTCGTTTGCCAATCAGGCTATGGTACCTAGCTCTGACGATGAGCGCCGCCGTTGATGTCGGTTGCAGGTGTGTGTATGCGATGCCGAGTTGTCAGGCCTGATCTGATGCCCGATTGCCGAGTTCTTTGGCCCCGATACCCCCACTCCTTGTCTGACAAAGTTGACACGGCATGGCTTCGATTTGTTAAGATGTCATGAATTTTCACTTGCGAGGTCTCTAATGTTGAATATTGAATGCGAGAAGGCCTTGCCTGAAACATGTTGTTTATATATGCTGAAGGCTCGGTTCCATAGTGTCATTTATCCCAGAACTTATGAATACGAAAAGGCCAGATGTTTGCCTGGAATCTGTTGCCATGGAATCTCATCTTTTTCCAACTTGTCGCATTCATGTCTCACCCGAGTTTTGGCGGGCCGGAAAAGTACAAAGCCCCGGACAGCCCTTGGCAGCCTCAAAAAGGAGCAAACAACTTGGCGCCCAAATTTCTAGAAACATCAATGCCCAAGTAGTCGAGAGTTTGGCCACGGGGCGTTACCCAGGGCTGGATGGAGGACTAATTGACCCTTTCCCTCATTGGTCCAGGTCAGTCATGATGGCTGACAATTGTTTCGTCACCTCAAATTTAAGCACGCCTTTCGGGGCGATCCTAGTTGCATCGGAAGAGGGTTACACATGGCAATTACTGCGGTTATATAGCTGGTGCCGATCCCCTCCTGTCTTATTTTCGACGCCTCTGCTTTGGAACCTTCGGATGAATGCGCTTGCGCCGAAGATGAGCCCGATACTGTACACCTTCTAGGACTGGCATAATGCATCAAAATCTAGACGACCCAAAGTCTGATCCCATGGCCCCTCTTAACAGCATGCTGAATTTTGCCATTCCCACGGACAGCTAACCCTTTTTTTTATAATTAATTATAAACTTATATTTATATATTATTATAATAATTAGTACTATTTTAAGTATAATACTTTTATAACTTTATTTTTTGCGATAAATTTCCCTTTAGCCTCTCCTACTATCACTTATATATATCAGAGCTTATATTAGCCTTAACTGTTGACCAATTAACCTCATCTTGGCAACTTGGCCGCTCACGGAAGTGGAGATCTTGCCTTGCAGGTTCGTGTCGCCTGATTAGAAACAACTGAGTAACAATAATCACGTGACGCTAATACTTAACCCAGCTCTAATTCAACTTTATAAGTCATCCGGAGATGGGTGTATATACTATAAGAGTGATAGTATTAGAGACACAAGTATTTCTATGACAGGCCGTACGCTGACATGACTGGACAGGGATCTCGAGAATGTTCAGTCAGTGAAGTAGCGACTTCTGAGTGTCTCACACGCCCCTGCCTCGTCTTGTTGTCTTTAAAAGGAGACTTGGGTAGCTTCTGACATCAATGATGTACTATAAATAAATTGACACCTAAAACGAGAAAATGAGATGTGACCGCCCCATGCCTTGTTTCCCTAGCTGCCCAATAAGTCATCATGACAAGGGCTGATAGGCAAAACAAAAGAAAAAGAGCTCTCTAATCTGGAAAAAGACAAACAACATTGGCAGCAATACCAGCCCCGCAAAAGTCAGTACCAAGGTAAAGGGCACAATCCTGGAAGCCAGGTCCTGATAAATGCCCCATTGGGGATACGCCGCGAGCCCCGTCTGTAGGGCTGTCAAGAAGACGGTGGCGGCGCCAAAGACAAAGATATAAGGAGCGCCAAAGCGTGCAAAGAAGGTGGCGTAGTTGTGATGGACTTGAAAGTAGCTGCGGCCGTGCCGTAGGCTGTGCCAGAAGTTGAGTCTCGTGAGGCGTATTTCGCCAAAGTGGTAACGCTGCGCTACATCTCTGTCCCGGAGATATCTGAACCGCTGGATGTAGTGGCACCAGCCGTTCCAGGTCAGAGTATCTGGCACGAGGTGAAGCCTTTTGGCAAGATGCAGGTCAGATTCGTGCGTGATGAGGCGCGCGTATGTGCGCAGGAAGCCTTCTGCTTCGGCCCGAAAGGAGTCGCTGCCCGTGTCTCTAGTGTCAGCGCCGACAATGTGTTTCTCCCAAAATTCAGAGCTGAAGAGGCTCTTGGGGATGGGCTTGATGAAGATTCGCTCATAGTGCCAAACCAAGTGGAGGTCGGGTCGCTCGGTGATGCAGATGTCCCTTCCTTTGATTTGTTGGTGGTGTAGGGGGCTAATATTGTCCGGTTTAGAGGTGAGGAACAAGATGCCGTAGACACGTCTTAACCGCATTGTTGAGAGCTCTGCCCGGAGGAACTCACCCACTGCAGGCTGGTCATCGATGGATAGCAGTGGGTTGCCGGGAATGGCGTTGTCCATTGAGAGTACCTCATCCTGATCGGGAATGGATGACGGTGTTATGTCGTCCCCGGCGTTGTCTTGCATAATGAAGAGCCTCTGTCGATTGCTCGAGGCTCTACTTCAGGGCTAGAAACAAGGTTGATTCGTAGATGGGTTGGTGAAGCAACACGTCGAAGAAAATAGAACACATGGCGAAAGACGGAATTTCGAGTCTGGCCTGGTGGCATTGGCCATTTGTTCTGCTTTCTTTCACGCAAGTTGGGCTCAGCCTGGATGCCAAACGCTTCCGTGTAGCAAGCACATTCGTACACAGCCCGCCTTCAGCCTCTTTGGTGCCCGAGACAGTAAGCCTAGCGTTGTATAGCCTGATGTTTGTCTGCTGGTGATCTGTCAATCTTACAAGCCTGTCTCAGCCTCACTCGCCGCATGTTCAGAGAGAGGCCGGTTGATATTACCCACGAGATGATTGGCCAAAAAGACGCAGGTTGGCATCCATGCCGAGCCGCAAATGCCGCGTTGACTTGTGAAGAGCAAAGACTTGATCAGAAGCTCAACACGGGCATAACCCAAACGCATATAACTTGCCCTTGTCCGACTCACGGTGTAGTGCTTGGTCTAAGCAGCCCATCCCACAACGTAGTAGCCACTGGTAGCACTCGAACCAGCTTTAGTTTCACCTACAAGCCCTTGAAAATTGATCCGAGCATGTCTGTATTACCTGGGCCATCGCAAGCAGTCGCCGAGCTGCCCTCAATCAGGGGCCTGAAGGTCCCCAAAATTCGTCCACAGGACCTTGGGCTGAAGATCTATCATGACCCCCAAGATGCTGATGAGATAATAGCCGAGTATATATATCCAAGCTGACCTGAGAATTGGCAGCGGCTGACCATTTCCGTAGCGTCGTTGCGGTTCACGGCATCGGAGTTGATCCCACCAAAACATGGACTCACCCTGCCACCAAAAAGAATTGGCTTTCCGATAACACGATGCTTCCACATGACCTCGGCAATGCACGCATCATGTCTTTCGGGTACAACTCGGTTTGGTATGGCGAGGATGCAGTCAAGCAATCGCTTCAAGGCGTCGCCTCTAAGCTTCTTTATGCACTGGGAGATAAACGACAGGTGTGTCAAGTCCGGAGCCGCTCATGATTTAAAGCTGGTTACTAATGACTTGAGGCACAGAGCTGCTTGCACCGCCCTATCCTCTTTATTGGGCACTGTTTCGGAGGGCTCGTTATCCAAATGGTAAGTCCAGCTTACTCTCGTCAAGGGATGAGGAATTAACTTCTCCCCGACTAGGCCTACACAATGGCGTTGCTCCAGTCCCAGGATTGGCCTCACCTGTTTGAGTCAGTCATTGGGTTGCTATTTCTTGGAACGCCTCACTACGGTATCACCGAAAGCTCCTATTTGAACACACAGGGCCAGATCTATCAAGCTATTGTTGCGGCAGAGTTGCTCATCGAGGATAACGCGCTTCACACCATGGCTCACGATAACGACCTGCTGAGAGACACCGTAGTGGCCTTCACGAGGAAAATAGCTACTGTCGAGCCTAAACCAATACTTTTCTGTTTCTACGAGGAGAAGCCAACCAAGGTTGGGCTCATTATTGGGCAAGATACAGCACCAGTGAGTAAGATCTCAAAAGCACCATTCGTAGCACAGCCTGATGTTGGAAAAAAAATAAGGAGTTTGTCGTCAACAAGACATCGGGCATATTGTCCGGATGCGAGAACGAGGGCCTTTCGCTGGACCACTTCCACATGAACAAGTTTGAAGACAGCCAGGACTACCATTACCTATGCGTTAAGCGTGAAATCCTCAAGATGGTCAAGAAATTTCAAGACAGGGAGGAACCAGTGTCGGGTAAGGCCCCCCCCCCCCCCCCCCCCATGCCCGAGACTGCAGGTGGCATAGCCGTCTGGAGACATGTTGCAGATTCGTCCTTGCATTTGCTTCATCGAGTACGGAGTCATTCTCTAAACGAATTCTTACTGTAGTTCCTGCAGAGGGATCTCCCAAGCTTGAATTACACCGCAGCATGCCAAGACTAGGAGCCCCCATCGCCGCCGAGTCCAACTTTGCTCCACGGGACCAGATTATCCAGAAGCTGGAGTCTCTTTTCAAGAGAAAGAAGCTCGTTGCGCTATATGGAGCCTCGGGAAACGGGTAAGCCCCCCTCAAGTCCTTTGATTGAGGCCATTCGTAGCCAGAAAGGACTAACGATACCCCTAGTAAAACCCACATTGCCGTGGCATATGCTCACGAGTATAACAAGAGCCATCCCGGGTGCAATGTCTACTGGGCCAACGCCAATAGTCTCGAAGAACTTGAATCTTCGTACATTCGGATTGCGGAACGCCTCAACATGACTTTGGATAACGGAGGAAATGTAAATGTTATACAAGCAGTCCGTCATCGTCTGAAAAAGGAGCCCTTTTTGATGGTACTCGACGGAATGGACAGTGAAGCCTGCCTACCCCTTGTCGATCTCAGCTCTGAAGAGCCGTTGTCCGACCTTGTACCCCCTACCAGCCGGGCCAATTTCCTGGTTACCACTCGATCTAAAGCGGTAGCCACACATCTAGTAAATGGAAAAGCAAAATATGTCATCGAGGTGAGCCCTGTTGACCATGACGATGCCTCGCACATTCTCCTTGGTAAGGTGTCCAAGGATCCCACTAGAAGACAGTCGGTCGACCAGATATCCAAGATTCTAAACGGCTCTGCGGGGGCCCTCGCAATGGCAACCTCTTACCTCAATCATGCCGGCAAGGCAATTAATCGCAAGATGTACCTAGAGAAGCTCAACTCGAGACCACCTGAGCAGTCGGGAGCCCTACGTGCCTGGGAACTGCTACACGACCTCATCAAGCGGAAGCACAGGGAGACAGTGGACACAATGCTCATCATGTCATGCTTGGATGTGCAGTGTATACCTAGCGAGCTCTTTGAAAGAAGTGTTGTGCAAGAGTACTTACCAGTCCTGGAGGAGCATTGCATCGTGGAGCCATCGACAGACAGGCAGCTGTTTACTATAACGGCCATGTACCGTGATCTAGCCCAGCAGTGGCTTGCTAATGATGGTCAACAGAGGGAGTGCATCGAGGACCTGGCCCTGGACGCCGTCCGCAAAAGGTTCGGCGAGGACACGAGTGAAACTCTTCTTCCGTGTCTCTTGGCAGCCTTGAAACTACAGCATGTTTCAGTCCGAGGCAAACGCACTCAGTCTGCCTTGCTCTTCTGCGCTGCAAAGCATGACATGGACCGAAACAACTACAAGAGGGCGTTACGACATCTCGAGCAATGTCTTGCCATGCAGGAAGCAGACGCAGATGTTGCTGACAAGTCGACCCTGATAGCGAAAACGAGGCAAGCGATTCAACAAGCAAAGGCCGGGTTGTCTCGGACCAACGAGCAGACAGCAACGGATAGCAAAGATCCAGGCGCCAATGTTGCAGCGACCCAGATGCAACTATTCAATCCAGCCGACGCACCATGGAGTCATCGTGATACGGGTCGTGGAGTCATGTCGCTCGACCAAGACCGCGACGACTACAACCAATGCATCGAGACGGTCGAACGCGATTGCAAGCAAGGACTTGATCAGGCCGCCAAAGGGCGGTACCAGAGAGCAGAGAAGCTTTATCGCTCTGCCCTCCAAGTTCTCCGTTCGCAAATGAACCCCGCGCACCCTGAAAAGGTTCTCATGATACTGCATCTGAAGATCCTGAGCTGTTTGGCGGGCATGTACTGCTCCCAAGGGCAGCTCAACGAGGCTGCAGAAATCCTTGGAGCCGTGCTGCCCGAGCAGGAAGAGATTCTGGGCAAGAACCACCCGGAGACGTTGCTGACGCGAAACGACCACGCCCTGTTGCTGCAGGACCGTGATCCAGACGCGGCTGCTCGCGAGCTACGAAGGATTCACATGGCACAGGTGCAAGTGCTCGGCCGTGATGACTCGGCCACTCTCCGGACCGAGTCGAACCTCGCCTTGAATTGCAAGCTGCAGGGCAAGATGGACGAAGCCAAGACGCTCTATGAAGACGTGTTGCACAGGCAGAAGCGGGAGCTCGAGGAGAACCATCCCGATGTCCAGGCGACGCAACAGATGTTGAAGGAATTGCTGGAAAAGGGGGCAAGCAAAGGCGTAATGAGCACATGATGATAATTCTAGTCAATCTTGTTGAATTGAAAGCACCGTGCTAACCGTGCATTGTCCTACACTAGAAAGTGAATGCTCCTCATGTTTTGACTCTGGAGCTTGATATAAAATGATGCAGTAGGCCAAGATGCCAGACAATTAGCAGCGTGGAAAATCGACTCTTGCCACGCCCCGAGGCGGAGGACCAAGATGCATGTTGAATAAAAAAGGCAATTGGGTTTCAAATTCTCCCAAGATTACATTGACATTTGTAAACAGTAAAGGCACACTTGTAAGCTATGCAGATACCGCACGGGGATACGCGGCCGAGGACCGCCATGGCTCAACGGCGAAGCCCAAAACCATGGCAACTATATCCAACACGTGGAATTCTAAAGCTACAATCTCATTTGCCGGGAGCCCATTTCGCAGCCAGCCCTTCAGCAGTCAACCTATTCTTCTTCTTCTGAAACGCAACATTCTCCTTGTTCTGCAGCTGTTGGAGGTGCAGCTTCTGCTCCTGCTGCGCCATCCGCGCCGTCACGGCCTGTCTTGTTTCCAGAGCAGCCGCCTCCCGACTCCATGACACCTTGGCCTGTCTTTGTTCCATCTCGGTCTGGTGGCCCGCCGCCGCGTGGTTCAGGTTCAGGTTCGGGTTCAGGTTCGGGTTCATCTTCTGCCGTTGCGAGTGGTACTCAATGTCGGCCTTGACCTGCGCCTCTTCCCGCTGGCGCTCGAGCTTGCGCCGGTGGTCAATGTCCTTGTACAGCTGCTTTTCCTCCTCGGCCCTGCGCCTCTCCTCGACCTCGAGGAGCCGCTTGGGCATGCCTGTTGTGCCGGGCGGCTGCGCAAACCCCGGTTGGCCGGGCCCGGGCTCCGCGTAGAATCGATCGACGCATTGCATCTGATGGAGTAGCTGCATCAGCTTGTCGAGGTGTTTGGGGTCGCCGCAGTAGCAGCCCTTTTGCAGGTACATGGTCGGAGAGAAGTAGTACTTGGCCCCCGTGTTGGGGTCGGCGGACACAAAGACATTCTGCTCGTTGTTGATTTCCCGCCACATGACGGTATTCAGCACGGCCGACGTTACTTGACATGGCCCGAGGTTCTCGAGGGCAAGGAATAGCGCGTTTCTGCCGTCGTACCGAGACAGCACGTCGGCCTTGCCCTTGTCCAAGGCTAGAATCGTCTCCTCGAGTTCCATGGCGCCTCTTGTTGCGTCGCATTTGAAGGCGAGCTCTTGGAGGGCCGTTCTGCCTTCATGCTCCGGTCTGTTGCTGGGGAAGTTGGGCTCGTGTTTGCCCTGGATGAGGATTTCTACCACCTTGCTCCGCAGGTTTCTGGCCGCCTCGTGGAGGCTGCCGTCGTTTGCTCTGGCGTTTGCCTTGACGAGTTGCCGCGCCGTTTCCGAGTCCCCCGACTGGGAGGCATAGAATAGAGCCGATCTGTTGGACTGGTCTCGGCTGTTGGGGTTTGCTCCCGCGTCGAGCAACTTGCGTATCACGTCACTACGGCCATGGCGCGCAGCTAGTATGAGAGGCGTTGCGTGGGAGCTCGAGGCAATGCAGTTGACGTTTGCTACTTGTTTGTGAGCCGCTTTTTGGTCTGTCCAAGGAAGGAATTGTTTTATACCTTTTGCCTCAATCAACTTTGCCATGACATCAGTCGGTACCTGCCCGTTTCCATGCGGGCACAGAGCCCAATGAAGGACGGTAATTGACTCGGGTACAGCCCCCTTGTCGGCGCAAATCTTGCAGCTGAATGTAGTCTCGGCGTTGCATCCGAGTTGAATCAAGCGTTCAACCAGTTTGGAAGATTGAGGGTAGCTCAATAGACAAGAGGCAAGTGGCGGGAGGCCATCTTTGAAGGTCATGTTGGCATCAAAGCCTGTGCCGCTCTGTTGCGCGTAGCAAACAAGAGTCTCCAGTAGATGCAGCACTGTCTCCTCGGTCAAAGAAGATTGAATAGTAGCCATAAATGCCTGGGTCATCGTCTCGGCTGTCGCGCCGGTTTCGATCAAGGTCCTCAGCAGCGACACTCCACCACCTCTGATGGCGCGCTTGACGGCTTCTCCATGTTTATAATTGACGTTGGCTGCATCCGGACGAACGATGAATATAGTATCTACAAGATCTAGCGAGGCGTCACTATCAGTACAGGCGTTGACGGCTTCAAGGAGGAGCTCGTTGACGGACAGGCCGCTGCATCGGCCAAGCAGCTCTTCCACCAGCCAGAGCTGTTCAGGAGATTGCCAGTCCTTGGAATGCTGCACAAGATGCATCAACGCCGCGTCAAAGGCAGTGTCGCCGACAAACTCCATCAAAAGGCCCATGGCTTGTCGGTCGCAGAATCGAACAGCTTGGCAAAAGGCATCATCAAGCGCAACGCCCGACGCTCCGCGCTCTAGAAGGGTCTGGACGATTGTCAAGCCGTCAGGGGTGAGCCACTTGCAACTCCCCGATACGAGGGCAGCGAGCGCGGCTGAAAACGTTGCCTTTGAAGTCGTGTCCGAGATCAACGAGTTGAGGACCTCGACTCGAAGCCTCTTTGCCGCTGCGGCAATGGCAGCTTCTCGCAAGCGCTCACTGCGAAGACGGTCCACTTCAATAGCACCAGACTTGTGGCCGAGAATGAGCTGGATGAGCTCGCTTCGCAGCTGTGGCATTGCCAAGTCCATGGCAGACCCCAAAGCAACAATGAGGGTTTCAGTTGATGGGCCGTGTTGCAAAAATAAATCGACAAGATCGCTTCGTCCCTGTGTCACGACCAATGCCACGGCACGCCCGGCACCAAAGTTGATGTCCGCTTTGCCATTTTGGAGAAGCAGATGGATCAATTCTCGTTGCGTCTGCTCCTCGCTCGGCTCCAGAGTCTTGTCCAGAATCTGGACGAGGGTCTCGCAGACTGAGTCGCCACGAACTCCGGCAGACAACAAGAGTGCGATCATCCGGCGGCAGACATCGAGATCAGTCAGCTTGGTGGCGTACACAATTGCTGATGCTAGAATATCCATCTTCGGTCTGCTTTGTAAAGCGACCTGTAATAGCTCAGGACGGCCGCTTTTGACGGCAGACAGCAAACAAGCTTCCCCCTTGTCGGGAATCAATGCGCCATGCTCTACGAGGGCCTGGGCCAATTTCAGTTGATTCTTCTCCAGCGCCTTGGCAAGTATCGCGTCCATGTTTGGCCCCTTTGCCCCTGAATCGAGGAGCATCTCAAGCAGGCGGTACTGCTGCTGGTCGTATGCTTCTGCGGCAGCCATGTCCCCAAGGAGCGGATATTGGCTCATCTCGCGGCGTAAAGCGATATTCTCTGCAATGGCTGGGCTCCCGCCGCGAATTGCTGACAGTAGAGCACAAGCCCGGTCAAAGCCGACATCCGCCCCATGGTTGAGAAGCATGTTTGCCTTGGCTTCGTATCCTCGCCTGGCAGCCTGTACGAGGCCCTTGTTCCGGCAATCCTGGCAAACCCCCTTGCCGTCTGTCATGAGAGTGGCCACCATCTCGTCAGAGCCGTCTTGGACAGCCTTTTGGAAAGACTGACATAGTTCGCTCGCGTTGCCGCCCTGCTTGAGCAGAATGTACACCTTGAGAACGTCGTCGAGGTCGATGGCGATGGGAAGAGCTGCATTGATGGACATCTCGTCGGCATTCTGGGCCAGACACAGTACAATGGCATCAGAACAGGTGCGTAGTGCTTGCTCAAGAACGTGACTCCGAACATCCACTTGGTCTTTTCCCCGGATAGCCTTCCAAAAGTTGGTGCTTTTGAAACGGGCAATGGAAACGTTGGCATCGTACTCGAGGAGAGCCTGGACTAGAGCGGGAGTGACGCCAACCACAATAATCCCTTGTGCGACTTTTGAAAGGACGCCATTGGCATCTTTGTAGCTCAAGTCGCCCCCAACGCGCTTGTTGGCCTCGAGTCTGTGTTGTAGCATCAACTGTTGCGCGTGTTCGCAATCAGCATCGCTTGGCGCGGCCAGAAGAGCAGACAGTTCGGCATGCTGCTGCGCCAGGGTCGGGCCCATGGTGGTTCCGAGTATTGAGATGTCGAGGTAATCTAGATTGGTGCCTCGGACCGTCAATCGCTGTTGTATTTATTCAGGCGTAGCCGCTTCACTTTCGTTTCTTGGCTGAACACAACATGTGCTTCACTGAACAGATGCCAGCAGACACTTCACTGCAGCAAAGACTGCGGTCTGAAGAGACATTTGGTTTTTATTGTAGATTAGGTCCGTCAATTTGAAGAATTTTGAGCTCTCTGAACAGTAAGGTAGTGGGAGCCTGGCTGCCTGGCAATGCTTTAGGTTTCTGTAGCGAGGAGTGCTTTGATACCCGGATCCAAAGCCTCCCTCGCAAAAGGAGGCTCTGGAGCCATCTATTTTGGGCTTTCGCCTCAGCTAAGGCTCATGTTGCATATGTGTGGTTGCAGACGCCCAAATTTGTCTTGGTAAGAAGTGAAGTGCAGAGAGTTGCACCAGACACCAGTACTTCATAGCAAAGTACCGAATCAGGCTGTGAATTCGGGCAGCGAGCATCAAGCTGCAGAGTCAGACAATAGCCATGAAATGCAATGCAACTCCGTGTAGGCAGCCGCCCGTCACATGGTATGAGTCCTATTCTTAGGCCCAAGACATTCTGGCAGCCTGATATTGGCGCACGCGAAGGAATCTGCTTCTCCTGCTCTACAAAGAAGGACGGAATACTGCCCTGGGGGATTGAGTGTCCAGACGGCTTAAAGGTGACTGCTTTCTCAAATAGCCCAAGCCAAGACACTAGAGACATCCAAGTTTTTTGAGCAAGAATATCTCTGTATAGCCAATTCTCCCTTGGGCAGAATACACACGCCAGTTTTCGCTTGTTAATCATGGTCGGGTCCCAAATGGAACAAGGTGAGCGACTCTCCTCACATAACCAGTCTTGCCTGAAATATATTGCTAACCCCTGAGCAGGCGACGTCACGCCTGGCTCTGCTGAGCTTGTGGTCGCTCATATCCGTGGCCAGGGACTTCAAGGGCTTCGCTGCGGGCACTTCCCTTGGTACGGCATCAAAGCTGACCAAGATAAAGACCGATACCCAAGCCGTCTTGGCTTCTTTCACACAATGGAATCTGAGGAACGAATCAGTTACCTCGAAACGAACAAATTATGCATTGATTGCCTCGACATAGTCGTACCGGATGGCTTCAACTTCTGGTCTATGATTGCCGAAGCCAGGCACAACACCAACTCTTCTCGTGATGCCCTTGGTATATCTCCACTAGCAGCACCTCCGTCACCAAGAAACTATCCCCCTCTATTCCAAGTTACCGAAAGCGTCTCGGTAACCATTCCCATCCCAGACGTTCCTCAGGCCAAGGCGGCATGGCAGTGGCTACAAAAAGAGCGGAAGCCCTTTTACATGGACCAGCTGCACCTGACCAAGAAGTTGACGCCGCTGGCCAAAAGAACTGCTGAGACTGACGCTACGATTGCAAGCCATCACGGTACGTCTTTTAGTCACAGACAAACTCCGAAGCCTGCGGTTCGGTCTTGCCTTGGTCAGCCAACAGAGCCAGTTAGTGGGGGTTCTGCGAAGATGCCAGGTCGCAGGTCGCAGTCAAAAATCCCCGTTGAGACTATTGATGATGCTATACTATCAAGTTGCACGCCCCTTGGGAATAGCCCTTCACTCCTTGACAGGAAGATTGAACCCTCAAGCTCGTCACACGACCCTAGTGATGCACCTCCATATCCGGCCAGCACGGCGTCTCGGAGTCGTTCCGCAAGCAGCGGACACTCTTCTAGAGACAGCAAAGATCTGTCTCAATCAAAAACTAGGGCATCATCCAAAGCCGTCAAGTCGGGTAAACTTGTCCAAGAGTCGACCAAGAAGAAGGCCAAGACATCGTGCTCCCTCCCAACCGCACCCGCAACCAGCTCAGTATCAATTCCTCTCGAGCAATCAATTATTGCGGACAGCCATGACAAGAAGAAAAGTCAAGACCCATTGTCCACAGCCGACAGGTTGAACCTATCTTCCACAAAGTTCACGCCCTCCTCTCCAACGAAAGATGCGGTCGTGTCAACAGCAGGACAAAAGAGTGCTCCTCATGGGCTCAACATCCTTGGACAAGGACAAGAAGAAGCCATCAAGGAGACTCCCATCCCAGGCTTGCCACCATCAGCGGCACTGGCAAAAAACAACTCAACACGCCCAAAGATTGAAAATGTCGCCCCGTACAATAGCCTGGTGTTGTCGGCGCAGCTTTTGGCCAAGAAGCCGTCGTCTAAGCCACCAAAAGCCTCTGCCTGTCCGACCCATACCAGGCACTGGAGCCAGCACAGCTCAACACACTTCTTCACCCTAGTTACCGAGCCTGATCCAGATGTATCTGCGTTTGGAAGTCGTACATTGCTCGAATCGCTTGAATCAAAGATTGATCGCGGCAAGAAGCGCGAAAAATCCAACAGAGAATACGGTACAGGATCTGACAAGGCCACTGCCAAAAAGGATACAGGCGCCAAGGAAAAGACTGTGGATAAGGGAATGGATGGACGACAGGAACTCGCAAAGGGGAAAAAAGGAGCCAAAGACGAACCTAAGAAGGAGAAGACTAGGAAAGAGAAGACTGAGAAGGAGAAGACTGAGAAGGAAAAGACAACTCACCAGGCCGGCAGAGCTCCATCTAGTGCAACTCGCGGAATTGCGCTACCAGCCAAGCCTGAAAGCTCAACAAACCCTACGAAAGAGCACAAGCTCATTGCCAAACCTGATTCCATGTCCAAACATCACAACAGACCGGTGAAACCGCACTCCACCAAGCACGCCAAGGCGGCAGGTTCGACAGAGACTCGCGGATTCGATCTACGGGGAAAGCACGGGTCCGGCCGCTCTAGAAGCAATAATCAGCAAGAAAGTGCGCAGAGTGATACAAAAAAAGACAATGGGAAAACACCCAACCATATAAAGCACCGTCATGGCCATAAAGAGGGGTATAGAGAGAATGGCGCCCCTAATCAGAGCATTCTTGAAGACCCAAGACCTTCCACTAATGGCACTCGAAATTCTCTCAAACCAAGCGACAAACCCCAAGACTCGGAGGGTAAAAATAACAACCAGGGGGAGAAGCCCCAAGAACCAGAGGGTAAAAATAACAACCACGGCGAGAAGCCCCAAGAGCCAGAGGGCAATAATAATAACCAGAGCGAGAAGCCCCAAGAGCCAGAGGGTAAAAATAACAACCAGAGCGAGAAGCCCCAAGAGCCAAACAATCAGGGCGGGAAGCCCCAAGAGCTAGAGGGTAAAAACAATAACCACGGCGAGAAACCCCAAGACCAAGAGGGTAATAATAACAACCACGGCGAGAGGCCCCAAGACCCAAACAACCAGGGCGGGAAGCCCCAAGAGCCAGAGGTTAGCAGCCAGGCCGAGAAACCCCAGGACCCAGAGGTTAGCAGCCAGGCCGAGAAACCCCAGGACCCAGAGGTTAGCAGCCAGGCCGAGAAACCCCAGGACCCAGAGGTTAGCAGCCAGGCCGAGAAACCCCAGGACCCAGAGGTTAGCAGCCAGGCCGAGAAACCCCAGGACCCAGAGGTTAGCAGCCAGGCCGAGAAACCCCAGGACCCAGAGGTTAGCAGCCAGGCCGAGAAACCCCAGGACCCAGAGGTTAGCAGCCAGGCCGAGAAACCCCAGGACCCAGAGGTTAGCAGCCAGGCCGAGAAACCCCAGGACCCAGAGGTTAGCAGCCAGGCCGAGAAACCCCAGGACCCAGAGGTTAGCAGCCAGGCCGAGAAACCCCAGGACCCAGAGGTTAGCAGCCAGGCCGAGAAACCCCAGGACCCAGAGGTTAGCAGCCAGGGCGAGAAGCCCCAAGACCCAAAGGTTAGCATCCAGGGTGAGAAACCCCAAGACCCAGAGAGGTATAATAGCAACCAGAGCAAGGAATCCAAGGACCTAGACGGCGAGCGAGGGATCCAAGGACCCAGAGGTTAGCAGCCAGGGCGAGAAGCCCCAAGACCCAAAGGTTAGCATCCAGGGTGAGAAACCCCAAGACCCAGAGAGGTATAATAGCAACCAGAGCAAGGAATCCAAGGACCTAGACGGCAATAATAGTAGCCAGGGGGAGAAGCCCAAGGACCCCGAGGGTTATGATAGCGACCAGAGCGAGGGATCCAAGGACCCAGAGGTTAGCAGCCAGGGCGAGAAGCCACAAGGGATCCAAGGACCCAGAGGGTTATAATAGCGACCAGAGCGAGGGATCCAAGGACCGAGACGGTAATTATAGCGACCAGAGCAACGAGGTTTCGTCGTCCGTCTCAACCGGCCCCGATAACGAGGCCGAGCCCCTGGAAAATGAGGGACGGCGGCTATCGCCCTATATCATCCGGCGTCAACTCAGTCTCTTAGCTGCTAAAAGTGGTTATAAAAGCCACAGGCGCAGTTCGTCCAGATTTAGTCACAGTTCTCGGTCCTCAAATGGGTCTACTCAGCCACCCGGACAAGGCGATTTTGATATGGCGTACGATAATGGCAGGACGTCACTGCAATCCAGTTCCCAAAGATTATCTTCCAAAATCCACGGCTGGGGCTCCAAATCTCGTCGTTCATCCAGTTCTGAGGCCAGTGACGATGCTAGTTCTGATGGGGCCAACGATGAGAACGATGCATCTTCAGACGATGAAGGAAATGACAGTGACAGTGGCAGTGACAGTGACAATGACAATGGAATCACCGACAAAGAGGATAAAAAGAGCGACGAAGAAAGCGACGAGGACATCATTAGCAATGACAGCCAGCCAGATGTGGATGAAACGAGTGGTTCTGAGAGCCATAACGGCAGCGACGACAGCGATGGCGGAAATGACTCTGACATGGGTAGTGATGGCGACTCTTTGCATCGCGACATGAGCAGCAACTATAACGATGAGGATGGCGGTGATAATTCCGATATCGACTGGAGCAATAGCGGGCAGGATTCTGATTATGATTCTGATAGTGGTAGAAACTACTAGAGTAGTGTCACGATATAGAAAAGGGGATAATTTCTGTGGAATTAGAGCATGTTTTTTTGTGCCATGTAGTATTGTTACGGTATTAGAGTTATTGTTAGGGAAGTATAATTGACACGCGAGTAATTCCGTCAATTTATTCAATGTCCTTCCATACTATGGGCGTCCCAAAACAATAGCGCATTCGTGATCCACAATATACCTCAACTTGTAATGGATTCTAAAATGAGCTCGTATAATAGCCTCTTAATATGCCAATATATACGTATATGCTGGCCCTGAATTAGGCTCTGTTAACAAGAGTAAGCAAATTATCAACAGGACAGCATACATTACAGCTATTGCGCCAATGAAAAAAGCCACCAATCCATAAACGTCTCTATTGGACATTTTTATATTGGTATTGCGATAGTTTTGCAAGTAATAGTTCACATTGTCATGATATGGGATGAGAGCATCTTGGTGTAACAAGGGCTTGGAAGGGCCTGGAACAAAGGGTTCAATTCATGTAATAACTTGCTTTTGGTACCAAAGGCTCATGGTCTTCTCAAGGCCCTTGGGGCCAAAGAGGATGTGCCGTAATTATACAAAGAAGCAGTGAGACCTCGAGGCCCAAGGCTTCCATCGTGGTCGCGTGACCAACCTTTTGTAATCTTTGTTGTTGGCTCAACGTTCAATCCGTGTGACACTTGGCTAAGGTGACCTATGAATTCCGGGGTCTTTCTATCTTGTATGCCTAGATGAGACCAGAGACATTGATAACTGGACGATGAGAGGACGACTGATGCACGGCCGCCTCTTTTGGATAGATGGGTGCTTCGCGGTACATCGGGTTTCTCGCAATGTCGATCAAATGATCTGTCTCAAGCCACTCTAGGCCCAGCAGAACGAGGTCCATATCGTCAAGCTTAGCCGTAACAACTTGGACGTGATCTTCAATGCATTACCAAATTGTTAGCTTGTAACTGCGTCGGGCAACTACCAAGACTACAGAATGTATTTCTGGTGTGTTTCTCATTCAGTCAATTTTTTTTTTCTTTTTTTCATAAAAATAACCACATAAAAAGTTCTAAATTTATGAAGATTATTTCTACTTTCTAACGCCTCCTCAGCCTTGTGAGAATACGAGGTTGGGCATTACGCATAAGTTACCTGTCGCTTCAGCAGATACTTGAGAAACAAGTACCGCAGAAAACAGGGCTGTAATCGATCAGATCTCATTTCTTGCGTCAGGCGATGGGCGTGCTCTATTGGGAATACTACGTAGCATTTTTCAGATGTAATAGTGTACATCTGACAGCACAGCCTGAGACATCTTGGTAACTGCATGTGGTGTGAAGTCCTCACGCCACGTCTAACGTACCAGGGCCGGATTGGCGTGACAAGGACCAGACTTGACTCCGATAAATGTCGGCAGTTACGACGCGGGGACAGGTCTAGAGTCTAGGCCTGCCCTCAAGGTCGCAAGGGAAAACTGGACGGTTACATGACATGGCGAAAACTGACCAGCCTCCTGTATCATTGCCTTCTTTGGGCCAGGGATACTTCCAAAGCCTACGAGCTACAGTGGAAACCCAACTCCGTCCCAGCGTCTAATATTAGCCCAGTCAGAAGCCTGCCTTTTTTTTTCTTGCTTATGCAAAAAGCAAACTCGCAGTATTCTGCAACCTGTGGGTGAAGTAGACAATTGTGGCTTCAACCTGCTGATGGCTATACCACCCCAAAGCCTTCGCCCCCGCGCCACCATGCGACTTGCGCACATAACAAATTTAGTAGCAAAATATTCTACCTTCTCTTCAGAAGTGATTCTAGAGGATACAGAGAGCGATGATATAAATTCATAAATACTTATTACTACGTCCGCGTTTTGTGTTTCGATGCACAGAGCATTAATCCCTTTCGCACAACATCTACTTGCTTGTTAGAATTATCTGTTAGCACCTCTGTTAATCTCGTTTCCTCCAAAATGGCAGCTTGGCTAAAGATCATCACGATGGCGCTCCGCATCGCACAGTTGATCTGTGCAGTCATCATGGTCGGTGTCGCCAGTTATTACATCAGAGGGCTCGAATCTGAAGGCCTCGGGCATATTAGTCGTTTTATCTTTACTGATGTTGTTGCGGTGATTTCTGCCTTCTTTGCCTTTATATGGTTAATTCCATTTTCGAGCAATTATATGAACTGGTATATCGATGGCATCATGTGTGTACTATTGGCAGCTGCCTTTGGTTGGCAGATTTCCGTACGTTCTACGGGTCTTTTATATCTTTTCTCTACAGCAGTGAGTAGTCTGAAAAACTCGCTAACCACAGACTATTATTAGTATACCCAACGCGAATGTGGAAAAGCTACGCTATCCGACTTTGAACAGGCTAGCGAAGGTCTCGATGAAGACGCATCCACTTGCGCCAAGTGGAGGGCTCTTTACGTATTTGCCGTTATTTCTGCGGCTCTCTGGCTGGTTTCTGCCGCTGTTGGATTCTTCTGGGTTAAGAAGCATGTCCGCACTGCAAAGCCTACCCGTACCGCAAAGCCCATGCGAACTGCGAAGCCCAGGACTCGTCGTTAGAGGGACGAGGTCCTTTTTGAAAAGTTTTCAAGACTTGACGCTTACTTTGGCACGTTTAGGGAACGGGACTTGTGTGAGAATTGGGTATAGAGGGGGTGGGTTGATACTGTGATATGCCTTATTAGAAAGGGTTAGATTGTTTAACTATTACTTTGTTTTTGTTTTTCAAGGAGACCTCAGGCTATTCTATAAGTATTACCAGTCCATTCATGTGCTTGGCGCGTTCTAGGTCCGCTCTGTTTAATATTGGTGGTTGAGAAGGAAGACGGTGCCATGACACACGGACTTAAATGTAAGTAAAACAAAACGCAGGCATACACCATCAGGTATTCACTAATCATCACCAACCCAACTACTAATTAAATAATAAATATCATCGGCCCCCCTAAGGCAAACCATAACCATCTTCATCATGCGGAGAACCTCCTGTTACAACCACCCATCAAGTATACCAAGTAGGAGTCGGATGTTCACCTAAAAGATGGTAACGGCCAAGCTCCCTGTTCTTATATGCCACCGGGTCATGAAGTGTATGTGTTCTGATATCCCTCCAAAACCGATCCAAACCGACTTTGCTTGCGGTTGCTTTGGCACCCGTCGCCTCAAAGACGCCCGACGTAACTCGCAAGCCAACGTCGGTTGCAACCACCTTGATGCTGGCAACCCATTCGGCTACTTCACCCCGGTCTTCGGCTGAGACGACATTCTTTTCGCTCAGGTTGCTGGCTTTGCCGTACACTCTTGTGAGCTCATGTCCAGCACGGTCAGCAAGAGCGGTTGCCGCCCGTAAATGTGCGAGAAAGTTGCCGTAAGTTGACAATATGTAGAATTCGTCTGATGCATTTTCCTTGACCTTTTCGAACATTGTTAGTGTGATAAAAAGAGAAAAAGAGGGAAAGTATTCGTTCTTACATCGCCGCCAAAGGGCCAGGCTCTAGTAGACTTTTTTGTGTAAGCCGTGGCGGTATCCAGGGCTCCCCAAGCGATTCCAAGGTAGAGATTGCTGAAAACAAGCTGAATACTGTTTGTAATGTAAGTCTTCTGCCCAGAAATTCATGTGACAAAACCCATTCTCTTCGATTCCTACTTACGTCGGTAGAAGCAGAGTCGCAAACGGTACGCCGAGATCAGAAGCGTTCGGCCTCTTCGCCACGGGATCCCACCCCAGAGCGTCGGACCAGGGCACCCTGGCCTTGTTAATCCTGACACTTCCGGATTCTGTTAGTCGCAGCCCGATATTATCCCAATCGTGAGAAAATACAATAGCGGGCTGGTCTGTCTTGACAACTGTAAAGATGTGGTCAGAAGTGCCTTCATAAGATCCCTCAAGGACAGTCAAGTCGGAAACGACGCCGCCCGTGTTGAAAAACTTGAAGCCCTCAAAAACAAGCTCGTCGCCGTCCCTCGTGATGGTGAGGTCATTGTCGCGCGGGTTGACGGCGCCTCCCACGAAGTAATTGTTGGCAATGATGAGCTCTTCAAACCGTTCCGCCTGAGCTGGCGACCCGACAACTCGAGCAATTGTCGACCACAGTAGATGGTAACCTAGGAGCATTCCAATAGATCTGTGCCGTGTACGTTAGGATGCCTGGTTCTCTGATATGATGAAGTAAAGAGCAAAGGAGATGGTTCCTACCCATCTCCACGGGCTACCTCGCGGATAACCTGGTTTCCAACGGACCAAGGCTGCTCTCCGCCACCATATCGCTGCGACCCCAAGACCTTGAGAAGGCCGGAGTGTTTTAATAACGCAATCTCTGCGCGTGGCGACTTGTTCTCACGGTCGCGTTGCACGGCGTCTGCTGCTAGTACAACTGCGACGTCCTTGGCCCTTTGGATCCATTCACCGTCGTTTTTTGGTTGCTCTGCCCACGTCGAGCGATACTCATCATAGACAGTAGGATCTGTTGCGATCCTGGCGGCGGCGTTGGATGTAAGCTGGGCCGACATGTTTGTTGCTTGACCAGATAAAAGACAGTCCAACGGCAATGGTAAGATACTCTATGGGATTTAGCTTTTTTGCAAACATGTCTTCCTTCCTTTTATACTTGAAAGCGAGCCTGCAGACTACATGGGCGTGATTGGCTGGCTTGGAGAAGGTTGCGGTGCGCATTGCGACATATCTCGCGTGATGGGTGTGCAAGGATTGCGCCATTGGAGGCACGTGTAAATAGAGTGGTTGCAGATCGCTCCTAGCTGTGCAGAGACATGAGGCAAGTAAAAAGCATAGTAATGAAGCAACTCAGATGTTGGATTGTCGACGCATCGTCTAATAAGTCTTTACGCTTCACCCCGGTTGCCTAAACTGACTAATAATCAGAGAGAGCAAGTCTTTTAGCGATGAAATAAATCGCTACAAACTAAACTGTTATATAAGAGTCTGTAATTATGTTACACTTGCTCAGTTCAATAGCATCTCTTCATGGAGCATGACAATCGGCACTGAATTGGCAGCAACTACGTGTCAACGAGACATGCTAGGACCCGGCACTCCTGCAGTAGACGACAACGAGTAGTTGACTAGACCAGATGCCGGGCTTTACTACGCCAGATCATAATGTACCCTACTATGATGTATACTTGTTTAACGGCAATTGTACTCTAGATGAGTAGAGAGAAGGATGAAGAAACTGCAAAAGGGGGTTTTAGAACATGCTTGTCTTTATGGTTGACGCATAAAACAATAGAAATAACGTAGCTTCAACGTGCTGCGACTATGTGTATGTATAAACACATGGTACGGAGTAGACGTACTCATCTACGCACTCCATGCTTCTTATTAGGCGGCGGAAGACAACCACCAACCGTATCGCACGTCTGGTGCTCTTCTACGGAGTACTTCCTGGCCAGGTTTGCAATTTGGCCTAGTATATGTATGTCTCACCAGCCCTTGACGTGGCGGTGGCAGAGCGGCACGAGTCGCACAACGCCAGGACGGGCCATAGTAGTACAATTGCTAGGATTTGCGATTAAATGTAGTCTTTTTTGTTTCCTTTTCTGACTTCCTGCCTAGGTCGTAGGAGACAAGGCAGAAGATGCATAGAGTATCGCGTGGCTTTTCAGCCAGACCATGCTTGTGCCTGATGCGGTGTAACACCGGCTGCAGCCAGTTCAGCTACGCCATGCTTCACGTAGTCCGTCTTTTGAGCTCCTCTAGTGAGACACGTCTAAGACTTCAGTATCTACGGAGTAATACGGTTATTTCGCTAGCCGAGTTGTACCAATGGCTGGGAGAGTGGGCGGCTGGGGGGTACCGAGTATTGTAGACGTATGTGTTTTCTCCCCCTTTCAATCGTGGCCACCCGATTTTCAATTCCTTCTATTTCGTGCCCCTTACACTCCTCTTCCATCTTAGCCTTCAAGTTCACCATATCAAGATCGTGACCATTCCGTATCTGACCTCAAACTCCCGACCTGCGCCCTATCGAGATGAAGCCTCTTTCTGCCATCGCCTGGCTGGCGACCTGCCTGACCGTGGTAGCAGCAGACAATCTCAAAGTTCCAGGGGAATCCCCCTTGGAGTTTTGCAACTCCAATCGCGACCACGACGCCGTACAGATTGAAAAAGTTGACATTTCTCCCAATCCTCCTAAGCCGTACGCACATGTCCACCTTGATTTCTGATGCATTGCTTACTCGGGCATAGGGGAAAGCCTCTACTCGTCACCTTTAACGGGGAAGTCAAGAAGAAAATCGCCGACGGCGCCTACGTCAAGGTTGTCGTGAAGTATGGCCTGATCCAACTCCTCTCCACGACGGCGGACTTTTGCGAGCAGACGCAGAACGTCGACCTCAACTGCCCTCTTGAGCCTGGCAAAATGGTCATCACGAAGAGCATCGACATGCCTTCTGTGATTCCTCCGGTATGGAATACTCTCGGTACTGTCTTGATATGCGATGCTGACGTGCTACAAGGGGACGTACAATGTTCTCGCCGATGCGTACACGGACGATGATGAGAACATTTCCTGCCTTAAGGCTACTGTCAACTTTCCACGGCCTGGGCTTCTTGGCGAGGAGCTTTGAGAGACGTGCGATGGTAGGAGCATGTTATGGATAGGAGGGGATGGAGGATTGTAGAATTTCCAGGAAACTGGGGACAGCCAGCGGCCATCGAAATTAATGCTAGATGCGTTTGTGTGGCTGAGATTTGGGGAACTCGAGAAAGACGGTTTGAGTATGTGTAGCTGAGTTGGAGCAATGTCAAACTTCTTTTGGTACTTGCCACGGCTAGAAGAGTCGACAAATTTATGCCGTGTTGCTCGATATCAGCCGGCGGGTTCAGGGCTTGTTCCATCAACAAAGAATAATAATCATATAGTCCGTTGATCAAGTGGATTCTACAAGAGCGCGAGGCAACTACATTCGGACGAGCAAAGTGATATGCAACAGCAACATCGTTTTATGCTTTTATTCTTTGAACCATTTTCGACCGCAACTAACCTCACATGCCTAAATAGAGGCGGTATCGCCTATCATCGGCCTTGACATTCCATTCTTGCGTGTAGTATCAAAGTAAATTTCGGAAAGTTGTGCTTTTGACTAGTCAAATGTTGGCAAAGTAAAATGAAGCACATGCTCCAAATCTCTTGCCATTCACTACCTTTCCGAGCCGTAACCAATCCTCTATTTGAAGTCCTTGAAGTGTTTACTTCTATTTTCCTCCCCTATCGCCATGCCCCCAGCAGGAGAGACCAGTGGTTTGTTCAACTACGGTGTAAATATCAAGATACCTTGGTCACTTGGAGAAACAGTCCAGACTTGAAACCAAATTTGAGCCATGGGCACTCCCATATATAAATTCGTTTCCTTAGGCCGCCTCGGACCCATCGCTGCACTTTGGTCGTTTCTGTCTTGTTGTGCATACTTCTGAGCTAAACCCAACTCTTTCTTTGCTGAAGCACGACGAGGCTCCCTTTATAAACGCCAAGTTCGGGATCGTGCGGGCAAGTTCACGATGGGAGAATCAACGGCATTTTGCGACGTATGGAGTGACAATG